CCAGGATGTTTCCGGGCTGGTTTGCGTCGATCACCAGCACCTTGGAGGAGGAGTGTGTGGTGGTGCAGATCCACACCAGGCTGGAGAGCTCATCCTGATGCCGGAGCTCCTTCTCCTGATCCTGAACACACACACACACACACACACACACACACACACACACACACACACACACACACACACACAGCAGGTATTAAAGACATCATTACATCCATCATTCACTATAATCCATCACTATAATCCACACAGAGATGTCTATTCCTATTCCAGCATATGTTTAACACAGCAAACGTCCTTTCAGTACTGGGAAACACCCATACACACTCATTCACACACACACTCATACACTACGGCCAGTGTAGTTGATCAGTTCCCCTATAGCGCATGTGTTTGGACTGTGGGGGAAACCAGAGCACCCGGAGGAAACCCACGCCAACATGGGGAGAACATGCAAACTCCACACAGAAACACCAACTGACCCAGCCGAGACTCAAACCAGAGACCTTCTTGCTGAGGCCACAGTGCTGACCACCGAGCCACGGTGTCGCCCAGCTTTATATTATATTGTTATATTTGATTTTGTGTTTAGTCACCTTGAGCTCTTCCTCCAGACGGTCCAGGCTGCTCTGAGATCCGCTCTTCTTCCCGGTGCTGATGGGAACTCTCTCTCCTCCAGACACGTCTTTATAAAACACACTCGCGCCCACGATACTGCCTCCGTCCCGCGTTTTCCCACCGGAGAGATTGACTCCTGCAGCGCACCACAGCTACACACACACACAACAAACAACACACAACTTAAACTACAGCACTGCATCACTGGCTGTGCTTCCATCCGTATTTCTATATGCTTTGCAGACGCCCTCGTTTACGATTTTGTGGTGGTAATTCCCACGTGTAATTTACTATATTAGGTAGCCTGCTATGTTCGGTGTGCAATCTGACACAATAACAATGACACAAGCTCCCTTAGTTTGGTCTCTTGTCAAGACGAGATCTCTAAAACGATAGATAAAACGAATAAACGATTCTGTGATTTACACAGCACAATCATGTTCTTGTTCGCTAATTTAGTCTTGTAAAAACTTAAACAGATGCATTACATAAGAGATAAAACCAGAGAGAAAAAGTCAGTCATCAGTATTGGAGATTCCAGCTTTCCACTGTTGCAGATGTGAAATGTTGTTGTGCTGATTGTACTTAATTGTCTTCTTCTTCTTCTATTATGAATTCCTCCAGAACTGTCTTGAGCATCTGTCTGTGCTCCCGTCTTACGCCTCCAAAAGCCACCGCGTTCATTGCATTTCGTCTTCTGAGGCGCAGCTCATTTATTAGAGGAGAACCAACACCACAGTGGAGAATCCCAACAGTGCAGCACACTCCACTTCTCTCAGTGCAGGTTTAGCAGGAGCTGAGGAGTTTATTCTCTTTTGGATGGAAACGCTGCTTTATTTACTAATGTTTTATTAGATATTACAGTCTTTCACATAAATCTAATTTATATCTTTAGATGGAAACACAGCTTTAGTAACATCAGACCTGAACGCAGTCTCACCTTCATGGAAGCATCTTTCTCATCCAACGGCCGCAGGTAAACAGGCACCGGCAGGTTTTTAATCTTACTATCTGCTTGTCCACCATTGGCCACCTTTGAAATTGGATAAGTTATAAGTTATAAAGATATCATATACAGTTAAAGTCAGAATTATTAACCCTTTTTTTTTTTAGATTTTTTTTAACACTTTTCTGCACATAATACTTTTAATAACTCATTTCTAATAACTGATTTTATTTATCTTGACAGCACATAATATTAGACTAGATATTTGACTAGTATTCAGCTTAAAGTAGGTCAATTAACTAGGGTAATTAGGGTAAAGTTAGGGTAATTAGGCAAGTCATTGTATAACAGTGGGTTGTTCTGGAGACAATCCAACACTAATATTGCTGAAGGGGTGAATAATATTGAGCTTAACATGACTTCAAAATAGCCCAAATAAAACAAATAAGACTTTCTCCAGAAGAATAAATATTAGAGGAAATACGGTGAACAACTCCTGAATCTGTTCAACATCATTTGGAAAATATTTGAAGAACTAAAAAAAATCTACAGGGCTAATAATTGATATCAGTCCCATATTCTATAGCAGTATAATATTACAATATTAAATCTAACAGTACATATAGCATCTATATAGCATAATAGTATAATATAGTAAATATATCTATAGTATCTGGCATGCTAAACAGCACTGGCATACTGTAGTATGAGAGTCTCACCTTGTATTTTGGAGGTAAACTCCATCCGTACGCCTGCATTCTGCCATCCTCTTTCTGCACGTGAGCCTTCACCTGTCTGTACTGAGCTCTTTTCTGCTCTCGACGGGACACTACAGTCTCCACCTCAGCTCTACACCATACACACAAACACATGACAGATATCAGACACAGGGCAAGTGCTCAGATGAAGACAAAACACAAAGAACATCTCTTCCGTGTGGATTGAGTTTTCTAAAGTAATAAATAAATCAGTTATTTTTATCAGTATTAACATTATTATTACCCTTTATAGACTAAATTAAAATGATTTTGATGTATTATTTATAATTTAAATTAAATCAAAAAGGTTTGTGAAATAATAATAGCAATAAATAATAATAATAATAAAGAAATAAAATAATGAATAATAAGTTATTGTTGTTGGTACTGTTATTCTTCTTATTATAATTGTTATTATTATTATTATAATTGTTATTATTATTACCATTTATAAAATAAACAAAATTTAATTAGATTATTTATCATTTAAATAAAGTCAAATAGGTTTGTGAATAACAATAATAATAATAATAGTAGTAGTTATGAGGATGATTATTGTTATTCATAAACCTTTTGGATTATTTAATTGGATAATAATACAAATATTAATAATAATAATAATAAGAAGAAGAAGAAGAAGAAATGCATGAATAAATAAATATAATAATAAATAAGTTATTGCTGTTGTTATTATTATTACCATTATTAATATTATTATTACCATTTATAAAATAAATAAAAAAGTATTTTTTTATTATAAAGTCAAAAAGATTTGTGAATAAAAACAATAATAATAGTAGTAGTTATGATGATGATGATGATTATTATTATTATCATTATTATTATTATTATTCACAAACCTTTTGGACTACTTAATTGGATAATAATAATAATAAAAATAACTACATAAATAAATATAATTATTTATAATTATTTCAATATGATAATTATTATTATTCACAAAACTTTTGGACTATTTAATTGGATAATAATAATAATAATAATAATAATAATAATAATAATAATAATAATAGTAGTAGTTATGATAATGATGATGATTATTATTATTATTATTCACAAACATTTTGGACATTTGGATGATGATAATAATAAAAAAATAATAATAAATAAATATAATAATAAATAATATGTTATTATTATTATTACCATTTATACAAAAAAACATATTTTTTATAATAAAGTTGAAAAGATTTGTGAATAATAATAATAATAATAATAATAATAATAGTTATGATGAGGAGGATAATTTTTATTATTCACAATCCTTTTGGACTATTTAATTGAATAATAATAATAAAGTAATAATAATAATAATAATATTAATAATAATAGTTAATATATTATTTTATATAGAAATTATTATTATTATTATTTAAAAACTTTTGGGAGTATTTAAATTATAAATAATATTTATTCTCATTATTTCTAAAAACAAAACAATATTTTTCACTAGTCTATAAAATACTTCTTGATTTGCAAATGTTTAGATAATTGGACAAGAAACAAGACAAAAACTCAGAGTGGAAAAACAGAGTAAAAGAGTGTAAGACTCACTCCTCATTGAGGAAGTCGAAGGCTTTGGATTTGTCGCTGGGCAGCTGAGCGAGTGTGCTGCTGCGCTTCTTCACCGACGGCACCACGTGTGAGGAGGGAGCGTTGTACTTCATGTTGACCGGCGCTTCAGGTTTCTTGGCTGCGCCACCGGACGAGGAGCTGAAGAGCCTGCTGAAACTGAGGGACGAGGCAGAAAAACACAGACACTGGTGGTATGCGGACACAAGCAGAGGTTAGAGCTCACACGCTCACCGTTATGGGGTTTAAGGGTCACGTCCCAAAACATCAGCACACTGCTTTACCATAGGGCACCTAACTAGGGCAACAGCATGCAGACTTGCTTTCAACATCACACTCCTCAACATACAACACTACACTGCAACAAAAGGCTTTTCGCTCACAATTCATGCCATTCACTATTGGCTTAATACCTGAATATCATTAGGAACTGTTCACACTCTACAACATACACTGTACAGGAATATCAGTGAATTAGCAGTTTTCTATATTGATATGCTTTTATTTATGCTTTTGAATCATATTATGGGAGCTTGATCTGTCTTCTGACAACTTTTAACCCTAAAGAGTTGGCAAGAATGACTTTTTTGAACATTTTTAATAGTTTAAAGTGATATACAATGAGTGACAGTTCGAAATGACCACTACCGCCGTGTGTGATGCCGCCGCAAGACAAGTGTGTAGTAAAATGTTTTTAGGTGTAACAGCAGTTTGGTACAATGCAGCCAGGGGGGAAAATGAATTGGATGCAAGAGAAAATATAGAAATATACAGTAGCTGTAAATACCCTGCTGCTTGAAAATGAAGATTATGTAAATTAAGCAATATAATTCCTTCAGAAATCATCTTGTTAACAAGCTTTATTATTATTGTAAAGTGCAACGAGGATTCATTTTGGAAATGAAAACTAAAGAAATAAAAGACACAAACATGAATAAATAAATAAATTAATAAATTCATTAATATATTTATATTATAGGTGAGGCAGTGGCGCAGTAGGTAGTGCTGTCGCCTCACAGCAAGAAGGTCGCTTCTGGTTCGAACCTCGGCTCAGTTGGCGTTTTTTGTGTGGAGTTTGCATGTTCTCCCTGCGTTCGCGTGGGTTTCCTCCGGGTCCTCTGGTTTCCCCCACAGTTCAAACACATGCGGTACAGGTGAATTGGGTAGGCTAAATTGTCCGTAGTGTATGAGTGTGTGTGTGTGTGTGTGTGTGTGTGGATGTTTCCCAGAGATGGGTTGCGGCTGGAAGGGCACCCGCTGCGTAAAAAACTTGCTGGATAAGTTGGCGACCCGGGATTAATAAAGGGACCAAGCCGACAAGAAAATGAATTGAATGAATATTTATATTATCTGGGTTGGTGCTGATGTTGTATATTACGCTACAGAAGTCGTGTAATAAACTGAAAGCACAGTTTCTGCTATTTTACAGACTTATTTCCCTATATATTAGTTCTTATGTAAATAATATAACAAATATACAAATATGAAAAAATACATCAAAAAATGTATTTTTTGTTCAAATATAAAACCTAATCAAATCAAATGCTATACATTATATTATTACTTCAAACGACTAAATAAATGTCAATTAAAGTCACTTTGTTAAACTGTAGAGTTGAGTTTTCAACATTAAAAGTGGACAGAGCAGAGATCAACATCCCATAATGCAATTCACCACCACAAATATACGAAAACACTTGTGAATTTGGAAACTGTTCATTAAAAGATATTTTTACAGTGTACAGCACACTACACTGCAACAAAAGGCTTTTTTTCATAACACTTTAGTTTAGGTCACAATTCATGCTATTAACTACTGGCTCATTACCTGAATATTATTAAGATATCAACTGTTCATTAGTAGTTATAAAGTATGATCTTATTCTGCATCCCTAATCCTATTAAATCCCTAAACCCAACTTCTACCTTAATAACTATTAATAAACAGATAATTAGCAGATTATTAAGCTAGCTAGTTAATGGTCTGGTAATACTGTGAATTCTTAAATCAAGTAAGATTTTCTGGATAAGTAAAAATGTTGTCTTGTTTTCAGAAATAATGCATAGAAATAGGCTCAAACTAAGCAATATAATCAGCCAATGGGGAAGAAAAGAAATCTAGTTTTTTATTTTGACATGAGGTTATTTTGTTTACCCCATTGGCTGATTAATTTGCTTGTTTTAAGCTATTTTTGACTCATTATTTACAAGACAATATTTTTTAACACATCCAGAAAATGCTTGATTTAAGATTTGTATATATATATATATATATATATATATATATATATATATATATATATATATATATATATATATATATATATATATATATATTTATATATTTTTTTATATTTTTTTTTTAT